TGTCTCCATTTTCACTCCACCTTGACCCCCACCCCCACCCACCCACCCTCACCTCCCACCCTCTATCCTACCCGCTTTGGCTGTGTCCACGTGCTCTTTATACATGTTCCCTGATGGCTCTCTGCTACTGTCTTTAAATACTGCAAAGCATTGTGAGCGGCATCCCTCTGTGCCTTGCTGCAGCAGCTCCCTGGGCTGTGACAGATTATAATGCCACTGGTGGACATGTCAGTGAGATGCCAGTACTGTCCGTTGGGGCTCAGTTCTTCTATGTCCAAATATGTTCTATTAAAACCTTGCTCCTTGGCAATTTCACTCAGCAGTTGGATGTAACCTGTATTTGGAATACTGGGGAGGCTTCTTTTCAGTAGGTTGGTCTTTTCACCAGAATTCCTTATGGAATGCCAAGTATATCCTAAGGAATGTCCCACCACATTTGCTAAAGAAATGTGGTTCTCTGGAGAAGCGTTACTGTATTTGTTGAGAAACTTTTCAGCAGCATTTCTCTTGGCTTGTTTTTTGACACCCCCTTTCCCGTTTCAATAAATGACTCTGGCCTGAAAATTGTGGTTTATTCTCTCTTATGCGTAGGTCCTCTCTCCAAGGAAAGGGTAGATTCAGGAAGTCTTCAGTCATGATGAGTAGCCAATGCCTGTAATGAACCAACAGGATTAAGCTGGTTCTTTGGTTGCTCAGAAGGGCCCGGCATTAAGGGGTCAGGAACTGTAAAGCAAATACTTCCACTGGCTTTCCAAATGTTTATGGCAGCCTCTGCGACCCCATGTTTCGCTTACAGGTACAGGTTATGTCACCAACAGTTACTCTGAAGGTAGAAGTGGGAGTGTGTAATTTGCACATCGGATCTTTCACAGTCATAGACCAGGATGTCCTTGGTCTTCCTGCTGTAATCATGTGTTGTCCCTGGTTTAGCTGAAATCCTCTTCCCCAGACTGAAGGTCCTGCTGTCTTTGTGCTCCAATGGCAGGTCCTGGGCACTAGGCGGAGTCTGGCACGTAGTGAGTAGAGGACTCAGGCACCGAGGAAGAGCCTAATGGATCAATGTCCTCTTGACCCAGGCCTGCCAGTGTTCAAGAACAGCGGTCCAGTTATGTTCCCTGGTCCCCTTCCCTCCAGTGTTCCTCCTGCAAAAGGACAGATGGGGGGAAAGAGCCAGGACCTTGGTGCCCTAGTTTCATCATTTAAGTGATAGATACCCTAGAATAAGTGCATACAAGCCCCCAAAATGAACTAAAGAGCTGCCTATACCAGAGAATAAATCCCAGTCTCTCTCTCTCTTTTTTCTAGCTGTTGTTCTCCCAGAGGGACTCTTTGTGGCCGAAGTGCATCCCTCATGTCTGTGAGCAGGAGGATTTTCAGGGCACTTTATTCACCTATGTGAGCATAATGGTTTTACTCTTTATAAACGAGCTACATAGGTAGAGGAGAGGAACAGATTGAGTGTGTAGTTTTGTCTGAGTATTTGCCTGTTTTTTTTTGTAGAGTTAGAAAGTTTGGCTTCATTTACTATCTCATTTTATCATCTGTGTGTCAAAATAAGAATACCTGAAATGGTTCAAGGACCATAACTTTGGAAGTCATCTGGTTTTACATGAAATAATTAGGTTAAAAAATCAGATAATAATTAAGTGAAAAAGTGGGATTGTTAACAAAAATTTATTGGTTTGAGTACATTTTTTTTTTAATGTAAGAACTCAGCCTCTAGACTCAGAATTCTGGTTTCAAGTTCTGATTTGCTAAATACCAGTTAGGTGTTCTCTAAATACTTTATCAGAAGAGCCTCACCTAAATTTTATCTCTCTAAGCCTTACAGTGTAAAGTACTATTACTCTTGTCTGTGCTTCTAAATGAACTTAATACCATATGCATTTGCATAATGTTTTAATTTTTTAAATTATTCATCCAATTTTAAATTTGAAACTCATAAATTTTGATTATTTAGGGGAAAAATTATTTCTCTATATTTTAGGTAAAAAAGAGTGTTGGAGCATATAAAGTTGAGAGTTCACACTTAAAATTGATGACTGCATCAAGAATAGAAACTAGAGATCTTCTCAGAGTCTAAGATTGAGAAGCCAGGAACATAGGTGGTAGTTTACACATGGTGGAGCACGTGGGTGTGGGCAAGTGGAAATGGAAAGAGATTGTCATGAAGCGGAAAAAGCATTATCTGTGGCTTTGAAAATGGAAAACATGAAAGATTTCACAAATAATTAGCAAAACTGTTTGGTTAGGAGACCAAACCATGTTTAACTAGCAGGAAAATCAATTTTGTTTCAAGTGAAGATAGAATGATTGGCTTTGCCTGAATATTCTAACAACCTTATTTTCTTCAGAAGCCTAATTTTATATATGAACCAATGTTTTCTTGTTTAGTTTCAGGGGAGGAAGAGGCGAAAGCAATTCAAGTCATTGTTATTTCCATGCACATGATTAAAATAATGGTTTCTATTTCTGTCCATTCCAATGAACAAACAATTACTTTAAGAGTAAATTTTAAACCAAGATTTTAAATATTATTTTTTATTTATTTTTAATTTTTTCTTTGTCTTTTTTTAATTTTAATCATTGTTCAAGCACAGTTTTCTCCCTTTTACTCCCATTCCAGCCCACCCACCCAACCCTCCCCACTTCCCTCCCATTAGCACCCTCCCCTTAGTTTTTGTCCATGTGTCCTTTAAATTTGTTCTTGTAAACCCTTCTCATTCTCCCCTGAAATTCTTTCTTCTCTCCCCTGTGGTCACTGTCAGCCTGTCCTCTATTTCTGTGTCTTTGGTTATATTTTGCTTGTTTCTTTGTTTTGTTGTTTAGGTTCCTGTTAAAGGTGAGATCATATGGTATTTGTCTTTCACTGCCTGGCTTATTTCGCTTAGCATAATGCTTTCCAGCTCCATCCAAGCTGTTGCAAAGGGTAAGAGCTCCTTTCTTTCTGCTGCATAGAATTCCATTTTGTAAAAGTACCATAGTTTTTTCATCCATTCATTTATTGATGAGCATCTAGGTTGCTTCCAGCACTTAGCTATTGTAAATTGTGCTGCTATGAACATCAAGGTGCAAAGGTTCTTTTGTATTGGTGTTTTAGTGTTAGGATATAGTCCCAGCAGTGGAATTGCTGGGTCAAAAGGCAGATCCATGAATATTATTTTAAAAATAATATTTATTTATTTATAAGTAAGGAAATCTTTACATGGTATATTTGGAGTCATGAAAACTTACTTTTGAATGACTCTTCTGTAAACTAATTCTAAATCTTAAAATTGCACCATAGAAATAATGTCATTTGTTTTCAAGCTCCATGGCAAAATAACTTTTAATTGGAAGGTCATACGATTAACTGAATCCATAAAGAGTGATGAGAATTAAAAAATTAATTAATAAGAAAATATAGCTACAAGTTAAGACAGAAGGTATAGCACAAATTTTAAGAGACAGTGATATATATTAATGACACAATTTGGGGTCAAATTTATAGTGAAGAGCATTGCACCATGTGGTTACCAGTTCTATGTTATTTTTTACATCAGCATTGACTGAAAGTAAGTTAGCAGAAGGTATGCTCAACCCCTACTGAATTGCCTACATTTCCATGTATGAAATCATGTTGGTTTGATATAATTGCTAAATAATGAAGAGATTCAAACTACCCTTATTATCCTATATATTTTCTATATACCTTTTGTTAAAATATCTCCTATTTAGAACTAGTAGATCTCAAAGTTTCCTTCCTGTTCAAAATAATTTTATGATTTTGAAATATCATTGTCTCTATGGGGGTCATATTCACTGGACTTTATTATTGACAACTTTAGTTTACTGATTTGGTAACACTAACACCCAGATAATACAATCAGCAAAGAATACTTCTATGGTGAGAAAAATTAATAATCATTTAATGGTTTGTTTGAGTTTCATTGTGTAACAAATCTCCTCCTTTCACAAATGGGATAACTTAAATTCAAAGAAATAAAGTAATTGATGCCCAAATTCATGCACTGGTACAATTAGTAATAGAACCTATAGGTCCCAACTGTTTGTCTGCATATGAACTTTTCCCACAAATTTTCCATAAACTTTTTAAAACATGAATTATGTAGTGTCAAGATTCTTTATTGGTTTTGGCAAACACATCAATTGGACAAATATAGACTGGAAAGTCATACTTTGATCGAAAGCACTAAGAACAAATTGACTTTCAAAATTTGGTATAACAAGTCAAGAGCAAAACCGTGCAATAACTGCTGCCTGCTCCTTTTTAACAATTTTAGCTGTTGATTTGTTCTGTAGTTCTTTTACATATGGTTATTTGATGTCTGTAAAAATAAGTATACTTCCATTATGAAATATCAGCATTTTATCTTCACAAATCACTAAGAAAAAAGTAAACAAACAATCAAAAATTATTTGAACTAATTGCATAGGCCTCTTGTAGAGAGGTTTTATCTTCCACCATGTAAATATAGCTATATCAGTACATAAAGCTTTAATTTTGTTTTCTACATTGTGCTAAATTACTTTGAGGAGCATGTATTCCACTAGTGACCACTGCTAAGCTTTGCATTTGTTTTTGTACCATTAAACAAAAACTTTGTAGGACTTGGACTTGCATCTTCAACAAATCTGAGTTTGAAAGGATTTAGAGTGATGTCCTTTCCAAGGACTTAGATGTACATTACTTTAAAATTGGAAAATATTTGGCAAGTAATAATAGCTTTGCAATATTTTGAATTGATTGAATGCATTCATTTTTATTAATATGAAGATTAAATATAATTATCTGAAAGGCTGACCTATGGAAATCATCACAAGACTAATTAGGAAAAACACTATTAAATTTTTATTTTCTGGAACACTGGATCATGTCCATTAAACATAGTTTCATGATATTAGTGTTAGCACAAATCTTGTCCATGAACATTTCTGTCATTGACTTATGCATCATGTCTTTCCAGGGCCCTGCGAATGCATTTTTACTGCACTGGACCATGGAAAGTGGAAGTAATGTCACTGTGTTTATTCTCTTAGGACTATCTCAAAACAGGAACATTGAAATCCTCTGCTTTGTGTTGTTTTTATTTTGCTATGTTGCTATTTGGATGGGAAATTTGCTCATAATGATTTCTATCACATTCAGTCTGCTAGTTGACCAACCCATGTATTTCTTCCTTAATTACCTCTCCCTCTCCGACCTTTGCTATACATCAACAGTGACGCCCAAACTAATGACTGATTTACTGGCAGAAAGGAAGACCATTTCCTATAATAACTGCATGACACAGCTTTTTATCCTTCACTTCCTTGGAGGCATCGAAATCTTCATCCTCACAGGGATGGCCTATGACCGCTATGTGGCCATCTGCAAGCCCCTGCACTACTCCATCATCATGAGCAGGCAAAGGTGTAACACGATCATTGGAGCTTGTTGCACTGGGGGATTTCTACACTCTGCCAGTCAGTTTCTTCTCACCATCTTTCTGCCGTTCTGTGGCCCCAACGAGCTAGATCACTACTTCTGTGATGTGTATCCTTTGCTGAAACTGGCTTGCACTGACACCTCCAGAATCGGTCTCTTGGTAGTTGTCAATTCAGGTCTGATTGCTTTGGTGACATTTGTGATTTTGATGGTGTCTTATTTTCTGATACTACATACCATCAGGGCTTTCCCTGCAGAGAGCCGTGCCAAAGCTCTTTCCACCTGCAGTTCTCACATTACAGTTGTGGTCCTGTTTTTTGGGCCTGCCCTTTTCATTTACATTAGACCAGCCACAACTTTTCCAGAAGATAAAGTGCTTGCCCTTTTCTACACCATCATTGCGCCCATGTTCAATCCTCTGATCTACACACTCAGAAACATGGAGATGAAGACTGCTTTGAGGAAAGTGTGGTGCCAGAAAGCATTTTTGATTGGAAGGCAAATCATCTGAAAGCATTTTCCCTCCTCACCACAGACCCTGTTCAGGTGATACTTGTTCCATTTCAGTTTATTAAACCAGGAACTTTGCTGAAAGAAAATAACCATGACACCAGTGTCATTTCATTAACATTAAAATTTGCTATACCATACTTTCTTCTTTATTTCTTGATCTGTTCCTTATTTATATCTTTTTTTTAACATTAGCTTTTTTTTTTTAAGATTTTATTTATTTATTTTTAGAGAGGGAAGGGAGGGAGGGAGGGAGACAGACAGACAGATAGACAGACATCAATGTGCAGTTGCTGGGGGTTATGGCCTGCAACCCAGGAATGTACCCTGGCTGGGAATCGAACCTGGGACACTTTAGTTCCCAGCCCGCGCTCAATCCACTGAGCTACGCCAGCCAGGGCTCCTTATTTATATCTTTGCTTAATAATTTGAGTCATCATTTCCTTGTTCAAGTTCTGTTATGCTTTGCTTTGATTTTTTTTTTCCTTTAGATTTCCATGAGTTGCTAACTGGGATCACCATTTTAATTTCTCTGAACTTCGGTCCCATGAATGAATCTCCAAATGTATGTAAGCAATATCATACTGACCATCCTAGACCCAGAGAGTCCATATGACCTGGTTGTCCTCCCTGCATTCTCATCAAAAAGAAGTCTTAGAAATTTAGAACCATTCTTTCCTCCTCCTCTTCTTCCCCCTTCTTCTTTTTCATAGTCCAGTAGTTTTCCATTATGCAAATGTACAGTAGTTGTTTTATCCACTCCTATACTAATGGACACTTGGGCTGTTTTCAAATCTTGGATATTGTAATTGATGCTGTAGTGAATATAGGGATGCATATATCATTATGCTAAGTGAAATAAGCCAGTCAGAGAAAGACAAGTACCATATGATTTCACTCATGTGAATGTAATGAACAAAATGAACTAAAAAGCAAAGTAGAGACAGACTCATGGATAGAAAGCAGGCGGACAACTTTGGGGAGGTTTGGAGGTGGGCGGAGGGATTGAGCAAAAAAAGGAAAAAAAACATGGACAACAATGTGGTAATTGGAGGGGCTGGGGGATGGGTGGAGATGGGAGAGGGTATAGGGCCAAATAAAATGTGATGAAAACAACAGAAAAAAGTTCTAGAAAAGATATAATTTATGTACAAATATGGTTATATAAAAACCAGAACAGTTTTTCTAAAGTGATTTTAATAAAATCATTTTAAAAATCACAAAATTTTAATAATTATATATAATTTGCTATAAAATTCTCATTTATATGGTAATGAAATCGTGGAATTGATTATGGATAAAGTAGCCATATAATTTATTGTCCAAACTAAGCCACAATATCACTGCCAGTAGCATTTCCCTAAGCTGTCCATTCTTCTCAGACATTTAAAAGTAGCCAGACATCCCACTTCTCTGGCACAATCCCATTCATGCCTAGTATCTCAGTGTCATTCTAAGTAGACCTCCACTTTTGTACTCAAATATGGCTTAGTTTAGACATAGTGTCTAATGAAAAATTATAAAGCAGTTCAAATAGAGAGATAAAATTGGAGACATCCCTAAACAGTGCATGTTTGTTGGTATATTAGAAACTTAAGAGAACTATTATTAGAGCAGTTGGTAACTGAATTTCTAGTGAAATTATTATGCAATCTACACCATGATACCAGTCAGTTTTCAAAGATAATTTTGTAGCAATGAATAAATTATTAACAAATGTTTTATTTTTTAAAACACTTTACTTTGGTAGAGCCTTAAATTTATCACCCAATAAAATAATTGTCTTTTATAAATTATTATAAAGCAATAACAAAGATGACAATTGTAGTGAAAAGATTTCTCGTTTTGCTCAAAATAAAAAATACAAAGTGGGTACAGTTGAACACTAAACAAGTAGATGAATGAAAATGCTAGCTGAGGGACCCTAGAAAGGCAATTTTGCTTTCTCTTCTTTTTCTTCCTCTATAAAAAAGGGATAACAGTAGCTATCCCATAAGGGGATTTTGAGGGTAAATGGAAAAGTACTGTTCTTCAAATAGAAACTGCTGAAAATAATTTTATTGTTGTGAAACAGTTGAATAAAATTTTTAACATGAATATTTCATTTTGTACTCTAAATATTTTCATATTAGACATATAAGCATAAGATTTTTGTGACATATCCATCATGTTTAAGTAACATTATAATAAAATATGATTTTAATCAACACTTGGTATTTGTGTGAATTTTTTCCTTAAAAAGCTATATAAGAAAGGTTTAAGGAACATGTATAAAGGACACATGGACAAAAACTGGGGGTCAGTGCAAATGGGAGGAAGGTGGAGAGGGCTGGGGGTGGGCTCAGATGGGAGTAAAAGACAGAAAACTGTACTTGAACAACAATTAAAATAAAATAAAATGGTGTATAAACTGTAGCTCTGAATTAATGATCTAATTATCTACTTCATTTTACAAATGGATAAACTGAAACTCTCAGAATTAAAATTTGTCTAATCATCCAACTCCAACCTAGAGAAGAAGTTGAATAATTAAGCAAAAATAAATCTTAAATAAATTGGTGGTAGCTGTCAAAGTTTTATTTCAAGCTTGCCAGCAAGGGACGAGTCTTCATACAAGTTAGATTGAAGATTTTACTTTTGACAGTGACATATGTAGAAGAAAAAGTAGAAGGAAGAATTGGATGATATTTTCAGACTAGATACAATGGAGGAATATCTGGTTAAAATTTCTAGGCAAAACATGTATTTGGGTGAGTGAATTCCATTCCCCAAAGATGTTCTTCATTGCATTAAATTCCATCAAAGGATTGCTTCCCCCCTGCCCCCCAGAAGAATCTTTAAAGATTGTCCACTCTCTTTCCTTGAACATGAGGAGCTTTTCCTTCTCAGGAAAATTCTTTGACTGTTGAAATCCTTGAAGGTGCTTCACCAAAAAAATCTTTTTTCCTGTACTCTGATTTTGTGTTAAATCATTATTTAAATGTTACTTAGTTAAAGGTTTTACATCTGTATTTGGGTTTTTAAATACACAGTTGAGCTTATATATAGTTCAAATGCAATTCCCTCCACTTATCCTCTCTCTTATTATGTACCTTCCAACGCATGTTATTAGAGATGACACTTACAGACAGATCCCAAAGCCACTTCTTTTCCAGAGCAACATGAGGCATGGAGTCTGGAAGCGGGCCTCACACCGTGACATTCTGCTTAGATCTGTGTACTCTCTCCACTTAGGTACAACAGTAGCAGTTCTCAACCACGCTAAGACTCTCTGATGATTTGGTAAAGAAATCTAGAATTATGGGATGCAAGGCCAGGAAATCCATTTCTGAATGGCATTTGCATTAAGTGTTATCTTTTATACCTTGAGGGCAAGCCATGAGGGCTGGCTCAGGTCATTAGGTTAGCCTTTGGTACCTGTGGGATTACACTTCCTTCAAAATCTTTTGGTGTGCTAATGTTTTTCTTTCGCCTGCCCTTAAATAAGTAAAAGTTTTATTGCTTCCTAGGCTGGGACTCAGTGAACTCTAATTTTTCTGAGACGATGTGTAAGCATTCTTCTACATATGAAGTGAAACATTTATTCTTCCACAATAGGTTTGTCATAACTAATTAAGTGGAATTTACCTTTAAATGAGGTAGCTCTGACATAGTCAAGATAAAAATTTGGTTTACCCAATTATGTTCTGACAGGAAGGATATCGACTGATATTAAACCTATACAAAGAACTATTTGCCATCCAAACTATGTAGACTCATCATATCACTTACAGAATCAAGATACATGCAACTAGTAATGCTATTACCCTCAAAGATGTTTTTATTGATTAGAAGTCAATAAAAGTTTCCCCTAATGATTCACAAGTTGGCTTGGATTCATTGGAAAACACAACCTAAGGCAACATTTGTGTGCTAATACTTCCTTCAGAAATGTACTTCCAGGGAAATAGGTGTGAGGGAAAGGGATTGAGTCAGAGAAGGAAGGAGATCCAGTCCAGAGGGAGGCACCAGACAGCCAGCTTCAGCTTCACACCCAACACTGCCTTTTGACTGTGTCTCAATGGCCAGGTAAGAAAATCCTGCACATTGAACCCATGTGAAGAATTCCTTGAATCCTTCTGTGGAAGGATTAAAATGAAAGGGAATGTACAACATCTGCCTGGGTCTATCAGTAGGAAATTAGCAGTGAAATAAAAATGGCATGACACTTACTTTCATGAAACTTAACATTGAGTGAAGAATGAAGTACATCAATGTAGAAAGATGAAGCTGGAGCAGCATGGAGGGAAGGCTGCTGCTTAAGTCTTGGCTTTTACACCTTCTGGCTGGTTTTCCCACTGACTGGAGGTTAAATAAAGATAGGGGGTGTGAGAAGCAGATACTCATTTGCATCAAAAGATGAATAACCCTCAAATCATTGGCTTTTCTTCCCCAAACCTTTCAGGGCACCAAACTTTCCTGATTGTGTTTTTCATCTCCATGTTTGTTGAGTGTGTAGATAAGAGGGTCAGGCATGGCAACAATAATTGTGAACAAGAGTGTAAACACTTTGGAAAAGTTGCGGCTGGTCTCACATAAACAAAGGTGATGGGTGTAAAGAACAGAATCACAATTGTGACTTGGGAACTGCTCATGGAAAGTGCTTTGTGGTGGCCTTCTGCTGAATAGGCCGTCAAAACCACGAAGATCCCTGGACCCATGAGATTGGAGTTGACAATGACCAAGAAACCCATTTTGTGTGCATCAAGGCAGGCCAGTTTCAACAAAGGGGACATGGCACAGAAATAGTGATCTATTCCACTGGGTCCACAGAAGGGTAAGACAATTGTAACAAGAAACAGGCCCAGGGAATGTAACCCCCCCCCCCTCCAGCCCCAGCACAATGCTATGAGGATGGACTTACACCTTTGCTGGCTCATGATGATGGCATAGTGGGGGGGGGGGGGTTAGATGGCCACATAGTGGTCCTAGGTCATTTCAGTGAGAATGGAGACCTCGATC